TTTCTCGAAATAGCTGTATACAAATATTGTTAGTTCATTCAATTTGTTATACAAAGGAGATATCACAAACAATATTTTCACTGAAATGTTATATATTCGCTCACTTTATTAATTTGTGAATATATTGTCAATAAGCGTTAATGAATTGCACTGAAACACTCTTTTCGGCTTGTCAATTGTCAGTAGAAGGGTGGTGCCATAGCAGTCAACAGCTTCGCTTTCAAAATAGTCTAAAAAACGTTCCGCAGTATTAGTATAGGTAATAGCATGAAATGGTAGTGATCTGTGGCATAAATACCACTAGTGATATTTCGAAATTGTTATACGTTATTTGAGACAATTTTGAAATATCACGAGTGGTGTTTATGCCAAATGTCACGTACAAATCATGCTATTATTTGTTTATACTACTACCCACAAAAGGATTGTAATTTTCACATGTAGGTATTTCAAATTAAACTGAAATACCACTGCTCTAAGCCAATCAAATTACAAAAAATTCTCATGTAGTAGTATAATATTGCCTATAGATAACGCCAAAGGTACATTTGTAATATATTACTTTGCTTTGTAAATTGTAGTTCAATTCGTTTAAAAGCCTGAAATGCGTCAATAAGTGATCTTTCAATGACTGTTCGTTTCATAAATGTGCCGCCTATATATTTTTCAGTACCTCCAGCAAAGAGGCGTTGGAACAAACTCAAACTCAGGACCTGTTTACATGGTGGTACGGGACCCCAAATAGGTGAGGTAACATGTGGCGGGTCACCCAACCTATCATATAAACGTGATTCAATTAAAATGAGAGATTATATGGACAAGCGGGTTACCCCACCTAAGCGGGTTACCCATATAAACAGGCTCTCAATTTGGTATAGTTTGGTTACGTAACAATTCAATTCAATTCATTGTTTATTCGCACTGTTTCCATAGATTACATGTTGCACATTATTTAAACAAAAGAAGAAAACAAACATAGAGGAGAGGAGCTAAGGCTTTCGAGCTGGTTGCCATAATGATAAAATAATATATGTAGATCTGGCTCTCACGTTATCACGGTATGTTATTCCATTATTGTTCACTTAACACTAAAAATCGAGTTTGTAGTTCGCTCTAAAAGAATTAGGAGGTAATAATTTTAGGGACATAGTTATCGACTCCCAGAGCTTAGGGGCAAAAAAATTAAATGAAAATTTACCATAATTTGTTCTAGCATGTATTCTATAATAATTATCTTGGCTTACATATCTTGTCCTGAGGGAGTGTATGTGTATGAAGTTCAGAGAACAAGTGTGGAATATTGTTGCCTTTGTTTCCGATCTGGCTTATAAAAGTTGCTATTTTTAGTCATACTAGGTTTTCAAGTTTCAAGATCCCAAGTACTTTAAAGTATGGACCTAGTTTCGCCTTTCTTGGAAATCTAGAATCGATATCCGAATTCAAAGGGCTGTAGTTTGTGAAGCGTGAAAAGACTTCACAATCATCATGCAATTGGAAACAGAAGGGCAGTTTCAGATAGAGCTCTCACTATATATATCGGCGGTACCATGAGCTCTTAGCGGTACCGGTGTGAGCCAGGGTATGTTTAGCAATTACAGGTTATGTAGCCAGCCATGAATATTTCAATGGTTAAAGCTATTTCATCTCGAGACTCTCGAGACAATATTAGCTTTCGTTGCTATTAATATACAATCTTTTGACTTCCTTGCTGATCACGACAAGATCAATTGGAATTGCGAAAGAACGTTTTTGCTGAATAAGAAGAAGCTTGTTGAAATCAATATCCAAAACACTTTTTAACGCCGCCTTTTTTTTTGTTGTTTTTTTTGGCCAAACATGAACCGTGAAAGGCGTGCCAAACTGTGTACGAAAACATGAAAAGATAAGCGGAAGGAAGTTCAAATTTGTAATTGACAAAATAAAACAAAAAAAGAAAAGATTTTAAGTCGGGAAATTAACAATTATTCTTTGAAATTGAGGTAAATATTCCTAAAGCCACTATTCACCGAGATTGAAAAGAATAACTGTTTTAGTCTATAGACACCATATACAGACGAAGTGATCACAACAAAATCAGAAAGGAAACCATTAATTACGATTTGATTGACGGATCAAATCATGCGTGAAAAAATTGCATGTCGCGGTAATTATAGTACATGCGCAAAAGTTATTATAGATCTTTCCAGAATTTTCAAACATGGCAATTCTCAAGTGGAACCGTTAAAGGTTTCAATCGTTTCCTTCGCATGAGCGAACTGCTGACATGGCGGCTCGGCTGCTCAAGGTAAGGCGTCGTTTTCCTGTAGTATTTTTTGTCCTGTTTACTTGAAACGTAGAATTTCGACAAGCGTTTGCTTTTAGTTTCGTTTCTCAAAAATTTTTCTGGCTAGGAAACGCTGACTTCACAAAACGGCCTCTTCTACTGGAGACATTCCATTGGCCTTAAAAAACATCAACCCCGGGATTTTGTGGACTGTTGAAAGATCGTTCTCTAAACGGAAAATTGGAAAACACCGACCTCACATATTATCCACTTGTTAGGAGGTGAATATTGAATTGCCCGAGAAAAACACCAAGACCACTGAGTGTGTATATATATTAAGGAAGGGCATTATTCGTCATGGCATGTGTATGATAGGCTCGTTTGTCATTCGTCTCACTATAGTCACTTCGTTCTTGATCACACCTTTTCGACCGCTTACTGCTGGTCTTTATCGGGCGATGGTGTCGATTTACTGAGCCGGACTATTAGTAATAGCGTGGTTGACGTCAAGTTCAACAGCACACCAACATGCTCGTGAGCTATATTGTAGCTCCTCGCACGTGGGGCACGCAAGTGTCAACATCAAATATAATCTAATCAAGCTGAGCTTTCGCTCTTAAAGATGTTATAATTTAAAACCACAAGGATTTGTAAGAGCCAAAATACTAGTCCTAGGAAGGATGTCATTACAGAAACCAGTTTAGTAACCGTTTAGTAAATGTTAAAACAACTAAAGTGTTTAAGGAAAATAATTCATAAAGAAAATATAAAGGAAATTCAGTGAGTGCTTAAAGATCAGATGAAAAACTCCTCATTTTTTCACCCTTTATTTCTCCTTCTAAAGTTCAATAAAAGACCAGTTTAATAGTAAAACGGATCAAACCATCGTTTTAACTTTTTAACTTTTAACACATGTTGAGACCCTCTAATTATATAGATATTTTTACAACTTTTCGCATTCAAACAAATTTTTAAAAACCTTCAGTTTTCACCTTACTATAGTTAATTTTTAGCTTACATCTGCGAAACAATGAGGACGATGCTGCTTATTCCTTAAAAATTGGCTATTTGTTGCAAAAATAACGTTCGCCGATATATATCACTACGCTCTAGATCTAGCTGCGTCGAAATATCAACAAATGTCGCGAAAAGAAACGAGGAGGTAAACTTCCAGATCGGTGCCCCAATATCTGCTACAACACCTTGCCCGATGTAAGGGAGTCCGGATTCCAGAATCCGGAGAATTTTTACTTGTACGTGAAAACCGAACTGACCACGAAAAACTTTGCATGTAGAATCCGGAATCCCGGGCGTGGAGTCCAGAATCCAAGACTATTGGATTCCCTTACGTGGGGCGAAACACCAGCGTATCCTGAGTCCAGAAAGCTGGACTTGCTCGACCTCACTAGTATTTGTCCTTGTATAATGTCAACGGCTAATAAGTTGAAAGTGGCATCACAGTCTACTTACCTATCTTAATTCACCATTTCATCTTCATCGTTGCAGGGTATATCACAAACCAATCTTATGACCAGCTCCAAGTTGGTTTGCTAGCTCAGTTGGTTAGAGTGCTAGCGCTGCTCCAGTATCGCACAGGTCGGGGTTCGAGTCTCGTCAAGCCTCAATTTTTTTCAGGCTTTCTTTTCGCAACTGCATAAGAAGCGATATCGATTTACTCTTCATTCCGCGGTTCCAATATATGAAATTCATACATCGATCATTTCAATGCAAATTTGGTAGCTTCTGGCTGACTTGCGTCGCAAAAAAATTCCCTTTGCTTAAGCTCCTAATTTTTCTTTCTCGTGCATTCTGCGGAATTGTTGTCAAATACACAGTTTTATTATAAAGAAACGAAGCTTTGAGAAGCTTTTAATCGACCACCGCTCGTTAATCTCGTATATCGTTTCGAAAATACCACCATTCCCAACAGCGACTTCGCTAGAGATTCATATATCTTATTGGACGGTTTAGTGTGTAGTATCGTGGGATATTTTCACGAGTCACGTCGCATTTTGGCGAGCCCGTGGGGCGAGTCAAAATACAAGAGACGAGTAAAAATATCCCACGATACTACACACTAAACCGTTCCAAAAATCATTTGAAATCCGGAGTACCCCCCCCCCCCGCTAGGGCCCAGCTTTGGACTTTACGAAAATGCATCATTACTTTCGACGACCTAGTATTCATGAATAGCTTTCTCACACAGTAACTAGTTTTTTTATCGGTGATAGCGTAATATTTCATGTAAATACTTTTTTAAATTGATATTTTTATTGTCTGATTAATATTATTGTGCTTATTTTTATCGTGGCATATCTGCGAAAGCGAGCTTGTGAGGAGTTTTTTTTACCAAGCTCTCCAAGCGCCTCACATGCAGGAATAGCTGAAATCAAGAGCTCATTCTTTCTTGCTGAAATTAAGTAGCAACCACAGAAACAAGCAACACAAACCAGAAACAAATGAGCTTTGTACTATTTATGGACTCAAAGAAATTAGAGGGTTCGGAAAGCCCCGTGACTACCGGCCACTTTACCACTGACGATTGGTGACGATTAGTGCTTTTGACGAATCGTATTTTGTGTAGTAATATTGGACAAACAAAATACGAATTCAATACAAAGCGGAAAACGATGTTACTGCAAGCAGTCCGATCTGAGTCAGTCGAGGAGACGGAGGGCCTGAGTCTTTCGAGCCTGAGGTTTTTCACCACTGTAGTTTTCGTCACACCCAACGAAGGATGGCAGCACTCAATAGTGCTTTCAGAGCAGAATCCAGCTATGAAAATCTTCATGATCACATAGAGTTATTTAATACGCGGTCTTTACCCAGGTGTTTACCAAGCGGAGCCCCACCAGTAAACGAAACTTACCAAGAGGAAGCAGTATACCAGAATTACGAAGGGAATAACAGACCAGTAGCAACCAATAGTGCTTTTAGAGTAGAACCCGACGATGAACATCTTTATGATCACATAGAGTTATCCAATAGACAGCCTGTACCAAGCGGAGCCACAGCAGAAAACCAAATTTACCAAGAAGTAGCAAACCAGACTTACGAAGGGAATAACAGACCACAAGAACCCATGAAAAATATTGCGATACGTCACCGTATGTCATTTGCTATGATAGCTGTTCTGGTCCTATGCCTCGTGGCAACGGTTGGTGCATCGATCAGTTTAGCCATCATAATGTCTTCTGACGGTAATATTTTAGTTAATTTGAATGTGGCTTATTCTTATAATACATGTTTTTAAACCAGTTGATTTAGATTGATCCAACCATCTTTCACCCCGGGGGGAACTCCCATATAAAAGTGACGGGGGTGCTAATCGGAAAATTAAAATTATAGCCCTAAGGGAGACCAATGTGGGTGTGGCTAAAGCTTAAAAGGAGAGCATACTAAAACAGACTTCATGGCATTTTTTGTAAATTTTTTTTTTATGCACAGCCCTAAGCGATACCTGAATGGGCAAAATGCAGTGACTTTCCTTCCGAAACACCCCAAGTGAGACCAAAATTTGCAATTTGCACGGCCTAAGCGAGACTACGAGCATCCCCAGTCACTTTTATATGGGAGTCCCCCGGGTCTTTCACTTTATTTCATTGTACGCAGCGGATGGTATTGGCCATCTTTCGTTCCCTTTCACCAGGGCAATCAGCACGTTTCAGGGTTTACATCAGATTATTTTTAGGCCACAAGCACTTGGGTGACCGGAAATCGTATGATCTTTAGCGCTTTCATGAATGAATCTAATGAGATGGGTAATATTTGATTCACTTTCATTTATATGTTTGTTTCAGATAATAGGGACGTTGCGAAAATAAGACGCGCTCGATCTGGGGAAGGGGGTGGGTGCGCGCGTTTTTCGCATAACTGTTTACTGCACGACTACAAGCTACCACCTTGGAGCCAGGGAACAGGCTAGGCGACGATACACTAATAAGTTCCAAAAGGGCGAAACAAAGCTGTCCGTATCTTCCCTTTAGTTATAAGCTCTTAACAAGACGAGTCTAATGTTAAATGTGGTACGGGGACGGGGAGGAGGAGCTCCCATATAAAAGTGACGGGGATTCTCGTTGGAAATTTAAATTAAACCCCTAAAAGCCTGGGGGGTACTCAATATAGTTTTATACAAGGAGGGTCCGCCCCGCGGTCCAACTCCTTACACTTTTATATACCATTCAGGGCCACAGAATAGATTATAATGGTTAGGGGTTCTGAGAGGCCAGCGGCACATACCCAGCAAAAATTAACCCAAGTAACCCCCAGGGCTGGTTTTGCGTATCTCGCGTGGCCCACGTTTTAGCCTAGAATAATATATAACAATTATTCACCGAAGTGGAGGTGGCTAGTCGGGGGATATTTACCGAACTGCGAAGCAGTGAGGTGATCCACGACTAGGTGAATATTTTATATTGAGCACAAAAATGATGATTTTTAACCAAATACTGACTAACGCCACCGACACTTTTGAAGGCATTTATTTAGAATAAAAGGAGTTGTTTTTTTGTAGTTATTTTAAAACAACTAAAGCTTATTTATGAACAACTAAAAAATAGGGAGATAATTGAGCACAAAAATGATGATTTTTAACTCAAATACTGTTGCCAACGATTACAATTTTGGCGCGTAATGACCGGGCGGACGCGGCCGTCGCTTTTTCTTGCCGACAATTAAAACTTTTGAAGGCATTTATTTAGCTCTTGCGGGGAAATTTCTTCAAAAGGAGTTGTGAATTCTTTTTGTATTTAAAATCATTCTATAAAAAAAGATTATTAAAGTTAGTTTTAAGCTTATTTATGAACAACTCAACTAAATAAAGTAACGCAAGACTTAACTTAATTTGCATTTGTAAACAAAAAACTTTTTCACCGGTTTTATCGATAAATTCGTGTCAAAAAGACAAAGCTTTACCTGTTAAAACTTCCAATCCGAACTTCGTCACCTTCTTCGTGTATTTCGGAAACAGCTTGCTTGATTAGTTGTGAAATTTCTTTGTTTGTTTACGGCAGCAAACCGAGAAGGCATTTTGCTCGCAACTTACGCGAGTTTGGCGTCGCTCGCTCGGAGGAACTGGAGGTGAATCAGCGAATAGTGCAGGATATTCACTGATTGAGTAGCCAATCAGAGCGCGCGAAAAAAACTATCCACTGTTTTAGTATATACTAAATAGATTTAGCCAGCAGGGTTCTATCTAGGGTATTTGAGGGGTAGAAGCTTCCCCCCCAAAATGCCCGGCTTTCCCCCAAAAAATATCGGAGCTAAGTGTAACATTGTCAGAACGTGATCATGACTAAAAAATAAAATAAAATACCACTGTAACATTTCTCAAAATTGGGTCTCAAAATGCACCAGATTGCATCTCAGCGCATATTCATTTCAAAACATTTCCGAAGGAGCATGCCCCCGGACCCCCATAGGAAGCTCGTGGCCTTCGGCCACTCGGGACTTCTCCCCCAAACGATAAATCCTAGATAGAACCCTGGCCAGGGCTAAAAGTGAAGCTCTCTTTCATATTTATAGCTTTCTCAAAGAAAATAAAAAATCGAGTAATACTAAAGGAACGGTGAGGACAACGAGAACGGCAAAAAAACGACAATAGATCTAATTAGCAAAAAGACAAATTTACACGTTCATTCTAATTAGCCAAAAAACTACTTTGCACGTGCAGCACACTTTTTTGAGCATTTCCTTGCCGTTGTTTGCACGACTAAAACGTGGAACTTCTTTTAACTTCCGAGTTACAAGTTTTATGGAGGAAATGTTGTTTTTTCACTGCCGCTCATTTCACCTGGGAAGCCGCTAACTTTTCTCATTTTCTCACCGCCGCTATATAATTTTTATGTTTTTCCTTCCAACGAAATTGGTCTCCGTTGTTGTTTTTTTATTATTATTTCTCACTCCACAGGCGACCCAGACGTAGTATGTGCCACTGAATGAATATATTAATATTCACATGGACAAATTAATGCGATAAGTCGTCGAAACTCCAATGAACTAAAATAGTCCAAAAGTCAAATATAACAAAACAAAGACAGTTGAAGGTATCTTAACTTTGTTTTGTTATATTTTCACTTTTGGACTATTTTAGTTCATGGGAGTTTCGACGACTCATCGCATTAATTTGTCCATGTGAATATTAATATATTCATTCAGTGGCACATACTACGTCTGGGCCGCCTGTGAGCTAACATGAAAAGGCGGAAGTACGTACCTACGGACGGACGGGCGGACGATTACGTCACAACCAAAATTTCTTGAATGCATAGATAACCAAATTTTCTTACCCATTGTGCTCCCCTGCGCGCTTCGCTGGTGAAATTACGTTTAACAATTTCGAAATATCACTCGTGGTATTTATGCCAAATATCACGTACAAATCATGCTATTATTTGTTTATACTACTACCAACCCGTAAAAGGTTTTTAATTGTCACATGTAGGTATTTCAAATTAAGCCACTGCTCTAAGCCAATCAAACTGCAGAAATTTCTCATGTAGTAGCATAATGCCAGATATTGCTGGTAGCATAACATTGATGTAACTTAACTAGGATAGATCTGCTTCAGATAACTGACTGTTAGGGGAGTCAGAATTATCAGTTTAAACTTATTAAAATTAAAAAAAAAATGTTTACAATTTGTCATTTATCAATTACGTAGGTGGTCAATGGATAACCACGGATTTAAGAGAAGACATAATGGCTACGAAAAATCAAACTAAAGAGATGCAACGGATGATCAAGGATTTAAAAAAAGACATAATGGCTACGAATGTAAATCAAACTGACGGGATGAAACAGATGATCGAGGATTTAAAAAAAGACATAATGGCTACGAGAAATTGAGCTATGACCACGCATTTAAAAGAAGACATAATGGCTACGAAAAATCAAACTGAACGGATGACCACAAGACGCTTCCAAAACTAAACTGTGGTGTTCCAGTTTGGTAAAATTCAGAGCAAATACTGAGAATCACCCCCCAAAAACGCTGCCTTTTCCGTTTAAAATAGGGACCTGTCTCGAAGAACAGTTTTTTTTACGTTGCAGGTTTTGAAGTTCCCTTGGAAATTAGTGTAAAATTGGCTGGAAGTGAAACCTGGAGCTTTCACGGAATTTCATGTTTGCCACTTAATTTCAAAGACGATTTTTGCAGTTTACTCTTAACCTTAAACTGGTGTTAAAACTCACAGGAAACGTCTCCCTGTTTGCAAGGATCATAAAATTCTTCCAAGCAATCTCCTAATGATCCCCCAAACAACACGGAAGAGGATTCAGAATTTCTCATCCCCCAAGAACAGAGGAGAGGATTCAGAATTTCTGACCCCCAAACAGCACAGGAGAGGATTCAGAATTTCTGACCCTCAAACAACACAGGAGAGAATTCAGAATTTCTGAATCCCCAAACAACAAAGGAGGGGATACAGAATTTCTGATCCCCTAAACAAAAATACAATACAGGAAGGTTTTCAATATTTCGGAACCCCTAAAAGAATATAATTATGGAATCAGAATTTCTGATAACCCAAACAACCTGAGACAGCTGACCTTAGCATCACTGCAGACTCCATTTTCTCTGTCAGAATTACCATTTGTTCACGCCAATAAGTGGTAGTGGTTTGAAACCGACAATCTTGTTTGAGTATCATGGTTCTTTTTTATGCAGCTCCAAAACTAAATAGTTCATTAGTACCAATGTATTATTTGTACAACTCGAAGATGTGGAGGGGGTTTTAATCCCGGGGGGTGGGGTACTGCCATATATGGGCTATATAGGTATGTGCCGCTGTGAAGGGTATGGTTTTCAAGCCGTTTACTCTAGGATAGGGTATGTAAATAAGAGCGTTTGGGTCTAGAATAGGGTATCATTTTTCGGGAAACTGATCAGTTGGTTGAAGATTTTATCAAGACTGGGGAAACAGCCACTCTAGGATAGGAGGGATTTGGGGAGTTTACTATAGTATAGGGTAGCAAAATTCAGCTGAACTAGCTCTGGTATAGGTTAAGGGTTCCAGGGACCCAGCGGCACATCCCCACCCAGAAATTCCTAAAGTACCCCCCCCCGGGTTTTAATGCTCATTGAACTAGATCCCCCGCCGTGTATTTTAGGTATCTTTTGTAATAATTTTCATTTAATATTATCTGTGAGAAGTTTCAAGTCGCTGCCCTTCTTCTTTTAATTCTGACGCTTACGGAACCGCCAAACACGTGAAAATCAGAATATTTATTTTTAGGTAGATATACAACGATGACAACGATGACATCGGTATGTACTGTCGCAATTTGTAATAATCATCGCACTTTGTAATACCTGTCGCAATTTGTAATAAATCCATCGCACTTTGTAATACCTGTCGCAATTTGTAATAAACCGTGTCGCACTTTGTAATAAAAAAGCTGTCGCAATTTGTAACAACTGTCCATCGCACTTTGTAATAAACTAAGCTGTCGCAATTTGTAATAATTCCATCGCACTTTGTAATAACTTTTTGAGAGTAATTAAACTTACTTCGTCAACATTAATATAACGCCAAAATATGCATGGTACTTCATAAACAAAGATGATGACGTCTGCTAGCACGTAACATCTCCGCTCATTCAAACATTTAACTTTATTCACAGTCCTAAACATTTTTTTTAGATTAATGTTGATTAGTTATCTGACTTACGAAATGCTGTATTCTTGAACCTTGCTATTGTACTAGGTGGCTTGCATTCAATGGTTACCCGGC